CTACCTACACAAGGTCGTTGTTGTTTTTTTGTTATTATTACCCCTGTAGAGTCACATAGGCGTGACCCTACTATAAGGACAACTCACCATGACACAAGATTTGAGAGGGTGCGCTTAGCCGGGATGAACCTGTCGGCCCTCATGGACCTCAGCCTCTATCCGGTCGAGTCGTGTTAGCTCCTTGTCGTCAAACGTCAAGGTGGAGACACGTCCACCTCGCACAACTCGGACCTTCCGCGTATCATAGAGAGAAGCCATCCTTTCACACCGCGGTCCATTTTGTCGCGGCGACCCCTTTTTGGCCCGCTTAGGCCCTGAATCGCGCGGCTGTATTATAGGTAGACTAGGCTCAACTTTAGTTTCCCCACGACCGCACACCAGCAAGGCCTCGTCGAAACCCGCGGACAATAGTGCCGACCCCCGTTATCCCGCACGGATGTCGGTGTCGTCCTGCGTCGACGACGTCAGGTTCAAAAAGTTCAAGTCTTCCAGTCATAGCGCTGGTCTGGATAAACTCTGGCAACGTCAATCTCATCAAGTCTTCTAATTAAGTGAGAAGGTCAGACAGCGTCCGACGTTGAAAAACACGGGCAGATACCCTTGTCAGGGTTTCTGCCCCGACAGCGTCATCTGATTGCTAACCCACTCATAGTTTCCAGAATCTTGAAGTATTGATGTGGTTAGACGGTCGACACTAGGAACCCAGTCCAATTTGTTCTGTATGAAAAAGTGGGTTGTGACTAGGGTGTGGTCAGATATTGGGTTGGGGGATACAACCACAGTTCTCAGTTGGTGCGAAGCTTCCTGTTTTAGCAAAACGTAGTTCAATCTTCTACGAATTGGGACTTGATTCTGTGAGAGTTGGGAAGAATGCCAGGTAAAACCAGAGTCTAAAAGGTGTGTTAGTCTATATGGATCTACTAGTTTTCTGATTCAATGATTGTAGATAAGAGTGTTGTATGTTCTCTTATGCGCTTTGTTGTTTGCGAGTCAAGTCCAAGGTTCATAATATTGTTTCAATCGCCCTCAATGACCAAATTGGGAGCGTCTGGCATCATGGATTGAAACTTTGTTAAGAATTCCACATGTTCATGATAATCGCTAAAGACATACACGCTCATGAATGTCCATAGAACATCGTCGAATTGGGCTTCAGATGAATCTGCCCCAGATGTCAATGTACTCGTCGATTATTGTCAGTGGGGGGCTACGGTGGATCAGAATACCTACTCCTCCCTTGATTCCTTCTTACGGTAACCACCATTGTGGTCCATCCCACCAGTCGCCGAGTGCATTGATTCGCTATGAGTTTAACTTCGTTTTTTGAAGCAGGACCACGATTGATAGTCTGTCACGGATCCAATATTTCAATCTGCCTTTCTTATTCCTTCATGATGTGTCACATAGTCCGCGTACATTCCATGTTGTGACTCTTAGCTCAGTTCTGAGAGGCATCTCCCAGAGTTGAGCCGCTTGCTTGGATACGGCTACAGAGGTTTTTCAGTGGACTGTGGTTGGAAGGTTTCTTATTTTTCTTGTCGCTATCGGTTTCTACAGTCCAGGGCGCCCTCATGTAGTTTCTGAATGTCAGGGTCTGTAATTTTTTTTGTTTCTCGCAGATATACCATCTTCCAAAATTAAATTTTTAAGATCTGAGCACTTATAGAGTTGAACCAGTTGAGAGGGAGTCATGCTCCCCAATTGCTGAAACTTCTTGGAAGGTTTCCAGCGTTGGTCTGGCATTAAGGAAGGATGTGTAGATGAGATATTGTGATCCCGAGTCTCCAACCTGGTTCTTCCTTTCTATAGTGTAGCCTTTAACCGTTCTGACTGGTGCTCTATCTCTGAGTAGTTGTCCAACTTTAACTAGTACGATGAGTTCCGTTGGAGTGCCTGGTTCGTCATGCTTGAAGATGGGTAGGAGGTACTTGTTGTTTGCTTCCCTTATGGTGTAGAAGAAGGTATCGGTTCCCATGTTGGCACATATCAACGAGGTCAGTTTCCTTATCAACTTTCCTTAACAGCTTTTCTTTAGATTCGTTTGAGGATGTTTTCATAGGCCTTGTGTCCAGGGCAGCATTGCCCTCTTCGTTGCCCAGCCTATTATTGAACAAGTTGTGTTCTGCAGCTGGGGCTGGGCGTGTCCCAGACAGGGAGGCATTGTTCTCCATATTCAGTCTTTCGGTGTGGGTGGTGGTGTGTCCTCTTTTGCGACATGTGTCTTGGAACTTTCCCAATCTGCGTGAGAGATTTCCTTCTCTCGAGCTCTGGTGAGGACTCATTCTGGCTCCCTTTGTCCGAGTAGTTGTTGATCTAGTGTGCTGAGTCGCCTCTCTCTGTTGTTTCGTCTGTGCGACGCAATTTAGTCAGTGTTCTGGGACGACTTGTTGGTGTGTTTTTCTCTTTCATGTTCGTGTCAGCCTTACCCGGATCTTGCTGAAGAATGTTTCACTGAGATCTGATCGGCATTGGTGCTACCACCCCGAGGGGCCAGGGCTGCTATTTCTGAAGTGGATGGTTGGGCTTCGCTTGGCTCCTTGTTCGGGTTGAGGGGTTGGCTTGGTGTTCCCTCTTCAAAGGTTATTGATTCCCTTATCGACAGTCTCTGCTTGAGAGTCTCAAGTACCTTTAGGAGATGGTCGCTTCCATCCCACTAGTCTGTGAATTGGTGGTGCCCCCTTTGCTGATCAGGAGAGAACGTGGAGTTGTCTCGTACAGGCGGGAAGTTTGGTACGGTGGGGTCTCGTCCTAGGTGTTCCTTCTGAACCGGTAGGGGAAGGGAGTGGGGTGGGGTTGATGGGGTTGGGTGAGGGGGACGGGTCTGGAAATAGGGTTAGGCTAAAGATTCGAAACAGTTTGCGTAGGCTTATTGGGCGTAGAGCTAGCTACGAGCAGAGGGTCTATTTAGAACTTCATCCCTTGGCCCTGACGGACCATCTTTGGGCTTCGGGCCCAATTCACATGTGGGCCTTATTGGTCCCAGCTGCCTCTAGTTCATATTCGAATTGTTTGTGAGGATTTTCGGGGACTTGTCCCACCTGCTCCACTGAGCCAGGTCCTCGCGGGGTTTTCAACTCGGAGTGACGTCGCGCTGTCGAAGCAAACACCCTTACAAGGGTATTTGCTCATGACTTTGCATCCGATACAATATCGATG